TAGAACAAAAAAAGAGGAATAAATATAATTGTCAATACAAAAAAAATGTTAATCCAACAAATTTGGATTAAATTTGGTAATTTGAGTTAGGAATTTACTTATTTATATGTATAACAATTTTTGACGTTAAATATTAACATTTAATACTAAACTAGTAAGTTTAGTATACACATATACACATATGTATAGATGTATATGTACACATATAATTATGTATAGTATACACATTATACATATAATCGTAAAGTTATATAGTTTATATACTTAAATTATTCGATAGTTCATGCAAGACTAGTTAAGAATAGTACTATATTATTTTTATAAGAAGAAAAAGATTGATATTACTTTTGATTAAGGCAAACGTTCGTTTTACTTTTTGTTAATGTAACTGAGAAAAAAATGGCTAGAGCGAAATAAGCGGGTTTGATATTTTCTATTGAAATTTGTTTCTTGACGCCATTCACGTTGATTAAAATGACGCGATCCGAAATTCTCTCAATAATCTTAGAAAGTCCTGAATATAGACATTCGATTTTTTTATGCTCTGACGCGGAGAAAGTCGTAAGTACACGCATTTATATTTTTATAAACGAAAATTTTTCTTTTGTGTCTAAGCTCTACTGGGATCGGCTTGACGAGACGCATGTTTTCTCTTAATTCCTCGAGGAACGGCTGAGAATCCGAACGAAAATCATTTCAATTTTGACCCAAATGGAACATAATAGCCGCCTTCAGCGTGCAGCGTGCGTTCGCTGCTGGATGGTATGATGTTGTACGGACGCGGTGACAAGCCGAGGGCTGGAGTAAAGATGTAAAAAGACGGAACTTAAATTGACTCTCCTGATCCGTGGTCAATATTTTGAGGTTTCCAAAACGCGATGCCTAACCGTCCACGAACAAGCGATAAAATGTTCGATATCTTTGAGGGAGAATGCCCCGGCTCAACGGGAAAACCTGTCAATCATAGTTAAGCAGTATTTATAACCCTTGCACGATGGAAGCGGACCAACGATGCCTATATGTACGTGACGGAAATTGTCCTACGGGTCAACCAAATGCAACGGCAAAAGAATGTTATGACGAGAGACTTTAGACTTCTGGCACAGAATACAGCCACGACACTATTCGAAAGAATCCTTATTCATATCAGGTCACACGTAAGCGTTGGAAATCACTCGTCCAGTTACCTTCGCGCTAAGATGGGCCGAGTTATAGAAAACTTCAAAAATATATTTTCTGAGAGTCAATGGTATGAAAGGTCTAAGAACTTCTCCGAGTAAATCGCACACTACCGGGTGTGATCAGTACCCAACAATGTACGTTTCAGTTTAAATGACGTCGTCTTATTCTGATATTAAGATGTTAAATCGGGATCATTTTTCTGATCCTCAGACAACTCGGCAAGGTTAACATCTGATTTGAGTCGAATTAGGTCGACGCGGGACAAACAGCCGGGTATCACGTTTTTATCACCAGGGAGATATACAGTTTTTATTGTATACTGTGAAATGAACAATAGTTTTTTTTCTTGTCTAAGAGAGGATTTATCTGATTTTTGTTGGAATGCATAAATCAATGGTTTATGATCGGTTACAATATGGATGTCCCTAATGCGGATGCAATGTTAAAAATATTTAAGTGCCTTGAAAGTTACCGTTAGCTCCCTATCGTAAGTGCTACATTTTCTTTGTGTAGGGGTGAAGCTACGCGAGAAAAAAGCCTAAGGTTTCCAAGGGCCGGTTTGGTGAAATGAACTGTAAATTTTTTCGATAAAAATTGATGATACCCAAAAATCTCCTAAAACTTGTAACGAGGCATTTATCGCTCTCGTTATAATCTGCTTCCCTGATCGGTTCTGCCATCTAGTCACGTTTTGATATATTAGCATTTCGCGTTGGTTCGTACGATTGGCCCCGAGGCCCTCCGGTCCCTCTAGATTTTTCGTTACAGGTGTTGAGGCTCGTAGTAGAGACAGGGAGGAAGCGAGGCCATATCATTGTTGGAGCAACAAAGACGCCGATAGGAAGAAGCCGCCTGGTGCCTTTAAACTACACATTGTGTGAACTCGCATGGCGATACGAATACGCATTTTCTCGTCGCGAAATAATTTAAGTCAAGTCATTGATATTAATTGTGTAATTAACCTAGTAACTAAGTATTCTCAATCAAGGCAAGTTAACCAAGAATATTAGTGTCTCTTTTAGTCAAATCTGTGTGGTGTAAATTGTCCGCTAAATCCTGAGATTCATCGTCGTTGGTAAGTCCAATTTGAATTCATGAGGAATCGTTTCGGTCTCACCGTCGTGCATCAGCCGGTTGGCCGTCGCGGAATCTCCCCTAATTAATTAATTGGTAATAAAGTTAAGTCGATATATCTTGTGCAGAAGATGCATTTAATTGTTATTAATTAAAATAATCTGTCACAAATTTGGCGCCCAACGTGGGGCAAAGCGTTGGCTGCGAGACAGAAACGAGTCGTTTCATTGTTAATTTCTATTTTGGATTTAATTGTATTTTGGGTTATTTATTGGCATAGCATCGGTTGCGTTTGTATTACATTTTACAGGTCAATACTTCTCGACTGACTTTTCATAGGAATTAGGCCGCGAATAATTTATTTTTGGGCGGAAAATAAATAATGAACTTGCGTTAAGGGGTCAATTGCGTTTTTAGGAAAATAAAACTTTTAAAAATTGTCGACAAGAGTTTCAAAAAGACGCGATTGTTGGGTGCAGCTGTACCCAGCACATGACCAATGTTGCCAGCGAAGTATAGTGGACAATACAATTGCGTCGAAAGGAAATTGTGATTTTCTATAATGTTTTGGCCATTTTTTATATTAATTGATGGTCGGCATATTCGAAATAATTGAAACTCTCTCAAATTGTAAAGTGTATTTTGTCCTTTTTTATGTCATTTAATTTTATTTGTTGGTTAGTTTTAGGAATAATTAGTTTGATAGAAGTTTTTTTTATGGAACAATTTTGGGAATTAATTTAAGGACTTGGTTGCCGACAAACGCAGTGAAAATTATTAAGCGGTGATTTTAAGCCTTTAGGAAAATTTTTAGCGTTGATGGCAGCCATTTGTAATTTTAATTTCAATTGAGAATTTTTTTTTTTAAGTGAAATTTTTTTTTAGGAATTGTTGGTAAGTGTGACGTTTTATTTATTTTAATAAACAAAAACGCTCAGGGATTCGGAAATTAAATTTTCGGTGGGCGACAGAGAGGACCCGGAAGAATTTTAAGAACGACTAGAAGATTGCATGACTTGCGAGAGGATTTCCGATCAAGAGATTCTTAGGGCGGTCCCTCCTGTTTTACGCGGTGCAGCAAGCCGTTAGTATAGGTTAACAAGAAAAGAAATTAATTCTTGGGAACATTTTAAGAAAGCGTTTTCGAGAGAATTGTTAGTGTTCTCGATTTTGAGGACATTTAGGACGAGCTTAAAGCTCGTACTCAGGCCAAAGAAGAGAAAATCTCAACCTATACAATGAGCTAGCGCACAATAACCGATCATCTTAGGCATCCTATTTTATCCAGAAAATTTTTGCGTGTGGTGTTCCCAGGGTTAACACCTGAGTATCGCATGTATATGGCGGGTTTCAAGGTCAAGAGCATTGGCGATTTAGAGCGTGTTTTAAGAAAATATGAAGATCAGGGACATTGATAAAAGATATGTTCCACCCCCGGCAAAGGATAAGCTGAAGTTTCCGTCGGCAGCACGCAAGAGTGTTTCTAAAGGGACAAAATTGGATGCTTTAGTCGAGGGCTCTTCGTCTGAGAGTAATAAGAGGGGTAAACAGGCAAGGGGGTTTAATAAGTCCAAATACAAAATTAAAGAACAGGAACCACCAACTGAAAAAAGGGAAAATACAGTTAATGCATTAGAGTGTCAGGGTCGGCCCATGGGAGCTGCAGGGGGCCAATCAAATAGAGGATGGACCAAGCCAATTCAGGCAGCTCCGGGGTCGTCACAACTAGTAATTTATTCACAAATTATGGGTACCAGGGCCCAGTGTTCCAAACCAGGGCAATGGCCAACTTTCTATTTTGGGTACTTGCAAAGGGTGTCAGGTTGTGGGACATCGTTTGTCCCAGTGAATTTGTTTCATTTGTCAGCAACAGTGTCATTTTGCTTCAGAATGCCCTAGTAGACAACTGGGACCGGTTGGGGTTTCATGTCAGGTTTGTATGACTAAGGGTGCGGTTTTTGCTCAATGTCCGGGATGTGTAGAGTTTAGAAATTATTTGGAAAACGGGAAAGGGGGGGGGGGCAAAAAAAAAACAGTTTCTTCCCCCGTCCAAACAATAGGGACAAGAGTTGAGGTCCCCGTAGGAGGAAGTAGTGTAGCGTCAAATGAAGTGTTTTTGCGTGTGCAAGAGATGGATTATTCGTTGCCGAGTGAGGAGAACTCATTCTTTAAACCATCTCATGTGTGTGTTGTCGGAGAGGAGAACTCACCTGTTAATGTTGGTAATTTGTGTGTGTCGAGTGAGGAGAACTCACTTTAAAATGAATGAGGAGTACTTATTCTTGGTGGGCCAAGATAAAACTGTGGTTTCTGCGGAAATTTTCGATAAGGCCCCTAGTGTTAGTGGGACTAAAAGTGTTGATATAGATTCAACACGTAAAGTCCAGGAGAGGGAAGAAGGTACAGTAAATGCAGCAGGCTCTCGCGACTCAAATGAAATTGTCGATGGGACAAGACCCGAAAATTGATACTTTTTGAAGGTAGTCATTGCGGATCGACCATATTATGCGTTATTTGATCCAGGGACAATGGTTTCGGTAATTGGTCCTAATTTGGCCGTGAAATTTAGAGAAAGACTAGAGCAAGCGGATACAGCGATCCAAAGTGCCATAGGGGAATCCACTATAACGTTAGGGAAATTAAGGTTATGGTTGACAGTCGATAGATAATCGCAGTCCTTTGAACTGAAAGCCCATAGTACGTTAACCCAGGACTTGATTTTAGGAATGGATTTCTGTAGGGATATGGATATGGATGTCCAGCTTGGTAAAGGTCTTTGGCGGATAAGTGGCCAAGAATGGCATACGTTTCCGTCAGATAATGGTGAAAATAGCACAGAATGTATTTTTGCAGAGAGTGCAGGTATCTCGGAGCTCACCGTGGTCCAAAGAGAAGAGGTCCAAAGTTTGGTAAATAAATTGGTCCTTCCTCAGGGAACATGGGGTGACGTCATTGACGGAGCACAACATTAGGTTGACTGACCAAACGCCGATTAAACATCGGCCGAGGAGAATGTCTCCAATCGATGTCTAGAAAGTAAGAGGTATACAACCTTTTCGGTTTCTGGTTTGGGTCTCTTTCAATTTAAGAGAATGCCATTTGGGTTAACGAACGCCCCCAGCACGTTCCAGAGGTTTGTGTACTTACTTTTTTGTCCAGAATTTGAACCTGTCGTTTTTGGATACCTTGATGATATCATAATTGTCACTGATGACTATGACGAGCGCATGAAATGATTGAGAATAGTGTTCAAGAAATTGGCGTCTGCTGGTTTGGTAGTAAACCCAGACAAATGTAAATTTGGTTGCTCTCGGGTAACTTATTTGGGTTACGTTCTGGATAAGGATGGTTTACGGCCTGATTCCGAAAAAGTGGCACCGGTCTTGGAGTACCCCGCACCCCTGAATATTAAACAGCTGCGGCGTTTTCTTGGAATGGTTGGTTGGTTGGTACTCTCGTTTCATAGAGAATGACAGCGAGATTAAGGTACCACTCTTGATGCTTCTCTAAAAAGGAAGAGTTTGGGAATGGACGTCTGTACATGAGGAGGCTTTCCAGACTTTGAAGAAAAAGTTAGTTTCGGCCCCGGTTTTGGCTCGTCTAGATTTCACAAAGCCGTTCACCGACCAATGTGACGCAAGTGACTCAGCGATTAGAGCGGTTCTGACTCAGGAGTCTGAGGACGGCGAACACCCGATAGTGTACGCAAGCAAGGCCGTGATAGGAGCTGAACGGAATTATAGTGTCACTGAGCGTGAGTGCCTGGCACTTTTATGGGCCATCAAAAAGTTTAGGCCATATCTGAAAGGATATAGGTTTAAGGCCATAACGGATCATAGTGCACAGAGATGGCTCAGGTATCTTAAGGATCCATCTGGTCGTTTAGTTCGTTGGGCACTCGAGATGCAACAGTGTGACTTTGACATTGTGCATCGTCGGGGTGTGAATCATCACGTACCAGACGCTTTGTCGCGTATGTACGAGGATGACATGGACGAAATGTCAGCTTTCAGCACCATAGATGACCCGTGGTATATCAAAAGGAAACAATTGGTGGAAAAGTTTCCACAACGTTTCCCAAGATGGTTGGTGGAAAACCAATCGGCATGGGAACGATCCCTTGTTGCTACCAGTCACGGATAAAGAACAAGGTTGGAAACTAGTTATCCTAGAGGAGCATCGGAATCGTATACTCAAGGATGCCAATTTTGAAATTGCAGCAAGTCATTTGGGGGCAGAGAAGACTCATGCCAGGGTAGCGGCCGAATATTATTGGCCTGGCATTTGGCATGATGTCCAGAGGTTTGTTCGTGAATATCCTGATTGTCAGATGTTTAAGGTCTCACAAGAGGGACCTCAAGGGTTAATGGGTCAAAGGATTGTGGAGCAACCACGGGTTGTGGTCGCAGCGGACTGTATGGAGTTTCCGTCCAGTAAAAATCAGTGTAAACATTTGGTTGTTTTTCAGGATTTCTTTTCACGCTGGATTGAATTGAAACCAATTAGGTCCGCTGATGGTAAGTCCATAGCCAAGGCGTTTGAGGAGCATTTTCTGTTAACAGATAACGGGAAAAAATTTGATAACCAGCACCTTAAATCTACCTTGGAGGACTATGGCGTCAAACATTTGACAACGCCGCTACACCACCCCCAGGCAAACCTAGTGGAACGAAGTAACCGGACCCTAAAGACCATGATTGCGACCTTTGTGAAACGAAGACCACCGGAATTGAGACAAGCATGTCCATGAGTTCCGTCATGCGGTTAATACAGACGTTCAGTCGTCGACTAAGGTTTATCGGGCCTTTTTAAAATATGGCCGACAACCTCAACCTGTTAAAAGTTTGAGAAGAGAGGTCAAAGGTAGGGTAACCGTTCAGCAAATTGACCCCGAGGTTTGGTGTGATAGATTGCGTAGGTTGGACGCTCTTAGGGATTTGGTCGCGAGATTTATTGATGAAAAACGCGAAAAGCAAAGTGGGTTGTAACGATTCGTAACCGTTTTCTTCTTTTTATGAATAATCGTTGCCACTTCCCGAATTATTAAACGCAATAATCCTTAAATATATTACTATTAATATACGCGCGCAAATTCAAATTGCGCATAGTACCAATCTTAGCCACCAGGCGCCACGCGCGTCGCTGCAAGAGAGCAGACGACAAAAGCACATGCTCGTGCAACCGGCGCTACGCACAGGTAGATTGGTGCGAACCTCAACTTTGTAAAGAGCCCGTACGCTCTCCTTTTTGTATAATTTACTTTTAAATTGAATGAAGACTGTGTGTTATTTTGATATATCAGTGCGCTTTATTGGATAATTGTTCTAGACTAATTAATCACTCATTCAGCGCCTAAGCAGTGTCCGAGATACCAGAAATACCGGTAAGTTCGTCTTTTCTCCTCTCTTTTCTTGGCTTCTTTTACGAAGGAAAAGCGTCTTCCAACTTTTCTATTTTTCGAGGAATTTTTGACCAGTGATTTGTGCTCATCAAATTGAGTCGAATCCCAATTTTATTTTAATTGTTAAATCTTAATTTTGGTGACCACATTTTTGGCGCCCAACGTGGGGCAGGTTTTTTAGTTTCAAGATTTTGCCTTTTCGGCCATAATTGTGTTTTTGTCATATTTTTACGCCCGGATTGACATGTTCTTTTATTCTGAAATAATCTGTCCTACAATTCATTAATTAGAATAAATTCGTTTTCTTTTAGCGTGTTCTCATTGGAAGGTTTCATCGACGCCGTCAAAATGGCGTGTCACATGGATTTTTCCATATAGAGAATCGCTCTCTTGTGTTTCTAACGCGATAAAATGGCAATATTATCGTGCTTAAAATTTTCCTTTCTCTCTCGGAAATTTTTTTTTATTTTCTATCGCGTTCATACAAACACAAAACTTTGAGCGAATTTTCCATACATCCAATGCGCTAAATTTCTATAATTTATATAGTTAAAAAACACATGCTCGCTTCTCTCTCACTACACCGATTTAAAAAAAAAGCGTATATAAAATTTTTGCGAAAATTTTCTATATTATGTTCTGCGCATTTATTCTGATAATTTAAACATTTGTATTTTTTAAGCACCACGAGGGATATCTACGTGTAAATTTTTGAAAATTTTTCATTTGAAATAATATTCCAAGCATATTAAATTTTATTTTATTTCTGAAATCGACGATACGAAACGTTATCTCTTTCTTGTTCGCTCGATGTAAACATTCCGAGCCTTTCAAAAAAAAGTAAACACGCTATTTTGCTAAATCTCAGCTTTTCGAAATCATTAATTATTCTCACTTTTAAATACTTCAAATCAAATTATTTTGAAATTTATTTTCCAAAAAAATGGAACAAAATTTTTGCAGACAATTTCAGAAAATTCTAATAAACAATCTACTTAGTTAGCAAAACTCGGAAATTTGTTAGAATCAAAAATCGAACACTTGCACAAAAAATTTTTGATTTGAATTACAATTAAGTTAAAAATTTAATAGAAAATTTTACGCACGAAATCTCCACCTTGAAAAGAAAATTGCGCAAATAAAAACGCGCAATTGGGATAGGAAATCCTCGAGTAGCCCAGTGAACGGTCTTAGTCATCGTTACACCAGCAACCTCGCACCCCTCCCTCCCACCCTGTCTTCGAGTTCGGTAGAGGTAACCCCCTCCAGCGGCTTACTAAATATGGGTTTGAAATTTAGAATTAAGAAATGCAGAACAATGACGCTAAATTGTTTTAATCTACAGCCCGCGCTGATTCAAACAATTTTTTTAGTCTTTCACACTCAGTTCGCCTTGTCAATCAAGTCTGGATTAGTTTTGCTCACTCAGCTCCACTTCATCGCAGAAGGGGGAAGAGAGACATCAATTGCCAATGCGTACAAATCGCGAAAGCAACGATGAAAAACATTATTCGGATAATTATCACAAGCGACTAACACCTAATGACGAGCATCATAATCGCCCGCGGTGTACTAGTAACAAAGACGGTCGGTATAGTAAATAAATTAATCATAGTAAACAAATTAATTATCAGCGAGAAAATTATAATTTTCAATTAAATAAAAATAAATTCAACTTTCGCAAAAAGGTATCACGAAAAAAAAATTATTGCATTAAAAATTGTTTTCTAAGCCATCATCTGCCATACGCAACGCAGAATCCGTACGTAAATGCACGTGATGCACCTGGCAATTATAGAAGCGCTCAATTATCTAAAAAAAGAGCGAAAATTCAGAATGCATTAATTGTGTTTTCAAAATAAAAATATTTCAACTAATTCGAAAAATTCCTAAAATTTAAAAATAAACAAATATATCTACTTTGAAATAAAAATAATACCGCGATTTAAATAATAAAACGTGCTATTCCACGTGTAGCAATCGTTTTGCTAAGGATTGAAGGTGATTTCCCAACCTGCTGTAACGCACAATCAAGCGTCTGGCTAGCAGGGACCTCACGAGTAATTCCTAAGGCTGACGCTAAGGAGCGAAGGTGATTCTCTCGAATTGCTTTGACACCTGATGTGTCTGGCCGGTAGAGATTCACTAGTACCTCCAATGGCGGACACCTAGGAACGAAGGTGCCTCCCTCAAATTGCTTTGACAATTGATTAACCGTTTGGCAACGGAGATTTCACAAGTAAATCCAAAAGCGAAGACGAACATTGCCTTTGCCTGGAGACCGAGACAGTGTATTTAGACTCTAGCATAGGGCTCCGCTGCGCTGAACTATCGCGTATCGTAGGCCCAGCTTATCTTGCTTGCGCCGCTGACTATAGCAAAGCCGACTACTTGCGAATCTGCAACAGTTGGCAAGTCTATAGTCGAAGTACTCAAAAGGCTCGCATTGCCTTAATGTCAATTTCGGAGTTCGATTATTATACGCATCGATTAAATAAAGAATATTTGAAATTAATTAAATCGTGATCAATGAATATTATCTTACAATACACAAAAAATTTTGTTTCATTTTTTACGCGAAATTATTGAGTTGAATTTTTGAAAAGGCTGATATGAAGTAAAATTAAAAATAAAGTAGAAAAAAATACATTTCTTTTATTTTGACACTAAAAACAAATTTATTTCATTTGGAAGGTTAAAAAAATACCTTTTCCAATTAAGAACAGCTGATTTCCTTATTTCGATTTTAGCTAACGGGCTAATTAATTATTTCTTATTATCTTTTGCAAATTTACGCCTATTACATAACAATGAAAAATTGTGTAATATTAATACGAACCGCGTCTAAATTTTCAATTAAAATTTAAAGTTAAAATTAAATTCAATTTTATAAACATCGACAACTAGGTATTATGTAAATAACTGTAGATTAACTATCAAGAGGAGCAACGCTTGGAACTACTTCTCCGTTTTTTGAGGTGACTCAAAGCATGGACATTTTTGCCGGCTACTCTGCCTCCGAACTTAGCTTCTTGGAAACCAAGGTCATGCGCATTTTCTCATCACCTGATTCCGAAAGTCTACAATTATTTTATTATTTATTCACGCACCACTATATCGCAATTCAATCAAGCCGTCCGACCAAATGTCCAAGACCCGAGATGAATTTAAAGATATTAGCGAAACTATAAATAAATTTTTACAATGTTTACCAACACCACAACGCATACAGGTACTACCACAAGTACAATCTCAATGTGTGAACACGCGCCAATCGCTTCTCACACCAAAAAAAAAAACGACAATGGTTTACCGCGAATGCATTTACATCGCACAAACCATGATTCTTAAGTCAGAAGGATGTCTCAACATCAACATCATTGCTGATCACTTGCTTTTTCCTGACACCTATGTTTTCGTTACCATGGACCGACAAACAACTTGCTGTCGTTTCCAAGTTTCAAGAATGCCAACCATTTGAGTGCGCAGAAAATCTAGTCTCCGCACTATTGGAGCATCGAAGGATGACATGGGAGGATCATTAGGAAGATCAAGTTAAAGCGCATGATCTGGTTGATAAGAAGTTAACAAAATTCCCAAAGAAAAAATCATCGGGCCACACACGAAACGTGTTATGGACTACGATGACGATCTCAAGCGATTCTCTCATCAGAGAGAAGCGAGACTTCAAACCGCGATTTTCCGCGCGTGATCGATGCGCTGCGCCGCATCCTCATTATATAATCCTCTGTGTATAATTTAAGTTTATTCTTTAATTAAATGTTTTTGTATTGCTAATCTTATTGTTTTCTTGTGTTGTGCGCCTTCTTCATAATAGGATTATTTTTCGTCTTATCTGCGAACTTGGTAAGTTTGATCAATCTCTATTCATCTGTGTGGCTCGTCTCGTTTCGCAACTGCTCATCAAACTGCGTCGCAGGTTGGATTGCCTTCACTGGATTGTGGAATCTCTGCTCAAATTATTGTGTCGGCTATCGCGAGCCGAACCCTGACTTTCGCTCTTTTCAAAAATATTCAAGTCTCGCGAAGTTTCGCCACAGGGTATTATAATCGGAATAAACGGGAAGCGACCTTCCATGTGGGAGATCAAGTACTGTGGCGCACCTACAAATTGTTAAATGCTGCTAATAGGTTCTCGGCAAAATTAGCTCCTAAATTCGAAGGACCTAATGAAATCGTTAAGCAATTGTCGCCATCCGTTTACGAACTGGGATCGGAAAATAAGCGTCGTGTGGCAAAAGTTCATGTATCCGACTTCAAACGTTATGTACCTCCGCGCGTTCAACGTGACCGTGAGTTACCTTTGGGTTCGGTCCGGTCATGTGCGC